ATCTCATTTGATCTGCATAATACCCCTGTGAGGAGGGTACTATTATATTTTCTTTTATAGACAGGAAAACTGAAATTTAGAGAGATTAAATAACTTGCCCAAGGTCACAAAATTAGAAAACATAAAGGAGGCCAGGATTAGACCATCTAACCCCAGAACACATATTCTTGGCCCTAGGTTAACCTTTTTCCCATCAGTCCCATTAGGCCAGGTCCATCCAATCACTGGCCCTTGCTGGGGCTGGCCCTGAACCCACGATGTCTTCCTTCCGCCAGCTCTTCATCCAGCTCCAACCCTACCTTGGCACCTTCGCTTGACCTCCTGCTTAGGCCACTTACCACTTTGCCTTAGACTCATAGAGAAGCAGCCATGTCTCCACCATGAGACAGTGAGCTCCCTGAGGGAAGCCAGGGGCCTAACACCTCCTCTCCCCACGCTGCCCAGCACAGTGTCTGGTGCACAGTAAACGCCCCATGTAGAATTGCATACAAGCCCATCCACTGGGTCCACGTTTTTTGTCCCCCAACCTACCCATTAGCAATGAGGAACATTTTATCAAGATCTTCCCAGTGGCATCCCTTTATATAACAATAATTTTGAACTTTCTCCCTCTTTTCTGCTTTTGTTAAGCTAAAGAAGGCCAAAGTCCGTGAAACCGTACTCAAAATATTATTTTCTAGTATTTTCATCGCTTCAGTCACCCAATTTCTTCACCTTTCCCACATGTTCTATTCTAATTTATGTTTCCTGGTACATTTGCACCTTATTTTTAAAAGTAACTAAGACTTCTGAAGTTATAAAAAGGAAAATATGGGTGGCTGGTTTAAAAGGGTTGGCCGCAAATTTCTTTTAAGTACTTAGCTTTCCTGACATGTTTATCTGCCTGTTCAAAGAGCAGTAACAACTTGATAGAGTCTGGCAGGCAGATCTGGAGTCAGAACGCTCAGGTTTGAATCCCGGCTCCCCCATCACTAGCATGTGACTGTGGGCAAGTGACAACCTCTCTGTGCCTCGGTCACCTCATGTGTAACGTGGAGATAATAGTATCTACCTCGCTGGATTGTGAAGAAAAGATGAGTTAACATGTAAAGCCCTAAGAACAGGGCCTGTATGTGACAGACACCACTATCAATACCTCTACTGTCACCTCCATCATCACCACCATGACCAGGCCCTCCAGGATCAGGGCACTGACTACCTCGATATGCCAATTATGAGTTTATTGCCTCTCAGCTCCAAATTTATCCCTCATTGCCTGCTTTACAAAAATTTAGCTGGGCTGTTTAAATATTTTTCCTTTGCCAGCTGGCACAATATTAAGCTTTTTCAGTAGAGGAAGCTGGACAGACATTGCCGGGTGGGGGGGCGGAAATGGTGGGGGTTCCTTCCTGGTCCTAGTGTGCTATCAGCAGGCTCCTGGAAAGCAGATGGCTTTCCTCCAGACCCTGCTCCCACAGCATGCACAGCCTCTCCAGCACCCAACTCCTGGAGCACATGAGGTTTCCCTAATTCCCAACTCCTGCAGGGTGGATGGTTTCTCCAGTGCTCGGTTTCTGCAGCTTATATACCTTCTTCAGCAGCGGGCTCTTTAGACACACAGCTTCCCCAGGGTCCGGCTCCTGCTGGTGGGCAGTGTCTCTAGCACCAAGCCTCTGCAGCGTGCACCGCTGCTCCAGCACCTGGATGTCAGCAGCTCCCAGAAGCCAAGGGTTTCCCCCAAAACCCCCTCAAGCAATTTTCTAGCAGACCGCCTCTGGTGAGACAACTCCTTGTGAGCAGTCTTCTTTGGCACCCTGGAAGGTGGATTCCAGAAAGTTCCAGAAAGAGGACTTCCAGTAAGTTACACTGGTGTGGCACCACAGCAACTTCTTGACCACCCGGATTGCCATGGTCATGCCCTTTCTAACGAGGTCTGCCTCTCAGCCTGGAGGCAGGGGTCTGCATCTCTGCCTTAGCTACTCCTATATTCTTTAGTGCTCTCTTGACTTCTTGCTGGTAAATCCCTCATTCTTCCAGTCCTCTGTCACAATGAACAATTCTTTGTATTATACTGCTCCTGTTCAAATCACTGTTTGGGTTCTGTCTTCTGCTTTGGCCTTGACTGTAACGCTCACTGCCCTCATCTCCGTCCCCTTATTATGAACCCTCCAGTACCTTCTGCCTTCTTTTTGTTCTCCACACACTCCACGTCTATTCTTGTCTTAAGATATTTGTTTTTTCTGTCCAGAATGTCCTGAAATGCCACCACATCTTCACATGGGTGGTTGCTTGGGCATTTCCTCTGAGTTACTTTCCAGAATTTCCAATCTAAATGAGTCCCGTCCAATCCTTACAGCCTCGACCACCGTTAGCATATGGCCCCGTTTCACTTTCTCCATAGCACTTATTACTCTGTGAATTCTCTTGTTCTTTCATCTGCCTCCCTCCCTAATTAAATGCAAATTCTATGTCAGCAAAGATTCTGCCTCTATTGATTACTACTAGAGCTACAGAGAACAGCTGTCAGGTAGGAAAGCATTTGATAGATGGATAAAGACGATGAGAAGGAAGAAGAAGAAAGGTAAAAAAAAGAAAGGAGGAAGGGAGGGACAGAAGAAGGAATTCACCATATCATCCCCCACCCCATTCTAATCTAGTTCCCATCCTAATGTCCCTGATTTAATCAATTGCTTTCATTACTCATTCTCCCAATCACTGACGCTTAGAATCCTGGAATCACCACTGTCTGTTTCATTCCACACTCAGTCACTAAGACCCACAGATTTTTCTTTTAAATTTGTCCTTAGTAGTTTTCATCATTCTCCATAGACATCAGTCATGTCTCCATGACATTATTATCTTAATAGACACCTTACCGGCCTCTTTAATTCTAAGTTCCTTCTCCTTTTTAATTTGTTCTGAATAGTGTTGCTAACCAATTTTTCTAAAACACTGCTTTTCACTGAGACTTTCTCCACTTCTCCTTTCCAGACCACTTGTTACTTATTTCATCAGGCCTAAACATATTTATCTACCTTCTAAGGCCCTCCTACATTGGCCACATGCTACCTAACAAGCTGCAGTGCCCATCAAGCCACAGTGACCCTTTCTGTCTGGTCAGACTGGTTCTCCCCACCCCCATGAATGAGCCATGACGTCCCCGTTCACTCCCAGGGACTGTCTCCCTCCTGATATTCCGGAAGGGGGCACCTCTTACTCTCCATCCCACAAAGCAACCCCAGGCTCCACTGGCACCCACAGGCTCACTGATCAGCTTCTTCTCTCAATTCCTATACTCCAGAAAACATCCGGAATTTTTTTTAATAAATGTATGTTGTCTTTTCCTCATCTTACCAGAAGAAATGCGCATGCTTCATACTTCCCTGTGATTTGAGGTAGAGTGTTGAACAAGCAGTAGGAGATAAACAATGATAAGCAATTGATAGCTTCCCGGTTGAGGATCGATATGAGTTCCAGGACCCAGAGGACATGCCTGTGGCAACCTAGGACCCTGTTCCACTAGAATGCTCTACAACAGTTGTCTGACCAAAATCACAGTCTTTCTCATTATTCAAATATTAAATCTGATATGACACATTTTGTGTGTGCCTTATATGGAAAAGTTATTTTAGGAAAAAAATTAGAAATAAGAGTATTTCACAAAGGTCTTTGTTTTTCAAAAGGGCCTCCTCCTGTCTATCTTCATCCCTTGTACTTTCCATAGTTTCCTTCTCTTGAAATTGTTAAGAAAAAAGACTTCCTTTGGGAAGAGCAACATCTTGCCCCCGCTTCCAGCTCTAGAAAAAAAGGACCTGAGGAAGGAACACGAGTGCCTTTCAGTTACATGGTGTCAGTCTCCCTCAGTTCAAAGCTTCAAGGCTCTTGAGCAAAGAGAAATTAATGTTTTCAACCATCATATAACAAAAGTTAGAAACCAGTGAAATGCCCTTCAATGAAAGATGGTTTAGCAAATTGTAATGTGTGTACTTATTGGACCATTAATTACTACTAAAATTATGGCTGTAATTATCATATAGTACCATAGGAAAACAAACCACTCGTAAGAACAAAAAGAACTGCACAGAAGTCTTAAGTTGTTTTTAATTATTACACTATTAATAACAATTTCAGTCCTATTATTCGGAAACTATATATATATGCTTATATCAAACATACTATTATGTATAGATATACTATATATATAGTAAGGTATACTATATATGTGTAGTCAAATATACTATTTCACATATAGAGATAGACAGACGATATGTACATAAGTAACTATAATAATGATGTTAGGAACCAAAATTTTCAGCATAAGAGAAAAGAAATACAAATATAAAGTCAAAGACGTGAACCATGGAATCCTAAATTTGAGCTGGAAATAACACTATGAATTTGTGATGCAATTTCTTTGTCCAAATTATACTAGCTCTGTCTACTGAAAAGGCCAAGAAATAAGAACTAGCCCAGTAGCTGTGAGCACCCAGGCTTTGGTCTCTAAATACCATTTCCTACTAAACTTAACAAAGGCTCCTTGCAGAAGATGCTGATTCCAGATCTGGACCAGGAAATGTCCAAGATGAGTCTGAAATATCTTGCAACATCAGAAAATAAGGAAGCTTCTAGGTTGATGTTAAAAGATTCAGGAGCCAATTTGAAAAGGCTCTTGGCCAAACATGGGAGAATTTGAAAAAGAATAATTTCTGCAAATAACTGAAACATAACAAACATGCTAAAAATCCATGATTTCATAATGACTTATATGCACACATGCACACCCACACAATTTTTGTTCACCTTTGGAGGATGCTAGAAAACCAATTCTTATTCTGAAAACTGGTGCATAAAGAGAAAGAATCAAGCATTCATCCTGTCTTTCTTTCATAAATTGTAGCTCAGGACAACCAATAGATGTTGAAGGAAATTTCTTTTTGTTGTTGTATTTTAGAGCTTGAAACATCTATTTCCTTTCCCACATCACCAATCATGGATTATCATGAGTGAACTGAGTGGCCGCATCTTGCATCTCTTCAGGAAAACATAGCACTATTGAGTGTGGCATCCTTCAGAGAACTCAATCTTTGGTCATAGTGTTAAGAGCTCTGGTTTCACAGACCCAAAAGCCCTCTCTGAAATGACCTAAAGAAATTTCTTTTTTTATAGAAGAATTCTAGGTAAAAAATAAGGACAGGGATGGAATAGGAATATAACCATTTTTGCAACTCACTAATGAAATAAATCCAGTCAACAATCACCAATGTAGGTAAAAAACTGGTAGGGACTTTGATGCAAAAACCTCCCAAAACCTGAACCGAATGATCAATCTCAATAGCACAGGAGGGAAATAACAGATATTATTGGCTTCCTTACGTGATACAGTGGAAAGTTACAACACTATAATGAAGCGCTCTTGACAATAAATCAAACTTCAACGTAATCAAATCTCTAGGTCTAACTATGAATTTATGGGAAATACATGGGGTAAAAATCATGTTAGTGACCACAAGGATACAATTAGCCAAATTCTGTAGGACTAACAACTTGGTTTCTTCAACGACAAGCAAATAAAGTAAAAGGAGAGGGAAGCCGCAGATTAAAAGAGATGTAAAATACATATCTTAATTTGAATAAGCCACCTGTTAAAATAAAATTATGAGACAATTAGGGAAATGAGGGAGACAATTAGGGAAAATTGACTGCATATCTGATGATATTGTGAAAGTCTTGTTAATGCTTTTAGGTGTGATAATAGTATTACAGTTATTTTTCAAAGTCTTTATCTGTCTGAAAATATGTACTGACATATTTATGGATTAAACAAAATGTCTGAGATTTACTTCAAAATATTCCTGTTGGGGTAGAGTGGGTGCGGTGGTCTGAATAATGGCTCCCCAAAGATGTCCATGCCCTGATCTTCAGAACCTGCGAATGTTACCTCACATGGCAAAGGGGACTTTGTAGGTGTGATTGAATTAAGGGCTTTGGGATGGGCAGGATATCTTGGATTATCTGGTGGGCCCAATGATGTGATCACAGTGGTCCTTACGAGAGGGAGGCAGAAGGGTTAGAGTCGGAGAAGGTGATGTCATGCAGAAGTAGAGATCGGAGTAATACGCTCTGAAGATGGAAGACGGGGCCACAAGCCAAGGAATACAGTGGAATACAGTCAGCCAGCAGCTGGAAAAGGCAATGAAACAGATTCTGCCCTGAAAGCCTCCAGAAGGAGCCAGCTCTGCCAACCTTGGACCTTAGCCCAGTGAAACTGATCTTGGACTTCTGAACTCCACAGCTGGAAGACAATACATTTGTGTTGTTTCAAGCTATTAAGTGTGTGGTCATTTGTTTCAGCAGCAACAGGAAACTACTACAGTGAGAAAGTGCATGGGAGTATAGCTGAAATCAGTTTGCCATGTGCTAATAATTGTTGAATTTGTCTGATGTGTATATGGGGGCTCTCTCATTATAATTTCTCTAGTTTTATATATGTTTGAAAATTTCCATAGTAATTGGTTTTCTAAAAAAAAAGTCTTACTAAGGGAATTTAAATCAAAAAGCCCATTTTTAAGATATAATTTTCAAGTTTCATATGTCTGTCCCATACCCAACTCCAGAATGCTCTAAGGGAGGTTGGGCCAGACAGACTACCACACCCAAAGAGTATCCCTGTGGGACCTTGGCTACGGGGTTTGCTGTCTCTGAGCCTCAGCTGCCTTAAATATCTGGGTTAATAACAGAGCTTGCATGTTAGTGGGTTATTGGGAGGCTTAAGTGAAATAATTCATTCAAAACGTTTAGTGAATTATCTGACACACAGTATCTCTTAATAAAGGTTAGCTATTGATATTATCATTGCATGTCATTTCCAGCTTTCCAACAAACATTTGAAAAATATCTCAAATCAATCTCTATTATGATCATTGCAATCCTCTAAAAAGTATTTGTGACCTAGTATCTAGAGTCTATTTAAGTCACCAATATTCTGTTTTTAAAAGCTCTTGTTTTTGTTCGATTGTTTTGTTTTGATGGTCTCCCGAGATAATGAGCAACTCAGAACCAAAGAGAACGAGGGAGGCGGAACAGGGAGGCTGTAAAGACAACCCTCTCCTGAAAAAACAACCGGCTGGCCTCTCAGGTTCTAAATAACCGGCAGTCCTTTCTCCCAGTGAGTGTCTTCGTTCCTGGTTTCTTCCTCAACACGGAGCTAAGAATCAGCTCTCTCATTATTCTATGGACACTGACGGGAGACCTTCCTTGTTCTGTCCCAAAGTTACATTTTCCTCTGGAGCAGCTGCAGGAAAGGGCAGACCAGCAGCGGCATGGACAAACTTGCCATAGCTGTTCTGCGCCCGGCTCCTTGCAGACGACCCTGTTCTGCTAACTGGTGACCACAGGCTTCCTCGTGGGGCTTCCAGCTGGAGTGGAGGCTGACGCCCGGAGGCTAGGAAGTAATCAGCATTTGTAAAAACCCCCTCTTCCTGTGCACCGTGATGTCTCAAGTTCACCTGGGGCCCCGGAGTCACAAGAGCCGGAGATGGGACTGTAGGCCCATTAAACGCTTTGCACCAAAACAGAAGCTCTGCTCCTGAGAAACGTCGGGGAGGAGGGGCAGCCGGAGTCCCCTGCAGCCGGGCCCCTCTCCTGTTTCAGAAGCCACAGAATCTAGGAGGGATGTGCAGGCAGCCAAGGAGGGTCCTTTAGACACTTAACAAGTACACTAATGAGCAAAGGCTAGAATAGTTTTCAAATTACTCTGTAGGCTTTTGAATTTCCTAAAGAAAATTACTATGTGGATTGGTATTATTGGTTCATTTTATTATAATGCCAGACCAGACTTACAAGAGCTGGCAGAAACTCACTGGCTGAAATATCAAGTGTGGCTATGAGAGTTTAGATCAACGCCGACACCCTTCTAATTCTCTCTAGGCCTTTCTCAGGCTTCTGATTGTGGAAGTTACAAGGACAGAAGCATCCACCAAACTGCAAATACCAGTTCCTCCCTTAAAATCCACATGGGGGCTAGCCCTGTGACAGAGCAGTTAGATTTGTGGACTCCGCTTCAGTGGCCCAGGGTTTGCAGGTTTGGATCCTGGGCATGGACCTAGCACTGCTCATCAAGCCATGCTGAGGTGGTGTCCCACAAAGAAGAACTAGAAGGACCTACAACTAGAATATACAACCATGTACAGGAGCTTTGGGGTGAAAAAAAAAAGAGGAAGATTGGCAACAGATGTTAGCTCAGGGCCAGTCTTCCTCACCAAAAAAAAGAAAAGAAAAGAATAAAAGCACTCATTTAAAAAAAAAAATCTGGGTGGACGTGAAGGGGTTGGTAAAGCAATGCCTGTTACCAGATTTTCATTAGACTCGTTTTTCACATTTTTGAGGACCTGAACAACAGGGATGGTATTTATTCTCATGACTTAAGAAAAAAGACCAATAAAACGGCCCAATAGAAAAATGAACAATAGGATCATTTTAAAGGTGGCTAAGTTTACTTTCGGCGGCTGTCACGGTTTGTGTCTATTCTGCTGTTGTTTAATCAAACTCTGAGGAGATGCAGAGGCTCAGCATGCAGAGAGAGGCTGCCCATGCCAGTCTGAGACCACGGGGAGGTCAGCCCAGGGCACGCAAACTGGCCACCTCCTGAGCCTGCCCTACTGACCCCTGAGTCACGTTTCTCTCCTGCCGTCACTCCGCCTGGTTCATGAGCTCTGAAGATGACAACTTGCGGGGCACAGCTGCAGGAAATACCAGGCTGCAGACATAAACATCTATGCCTGCCAGAAAAAGTCACTACTAACTCAGAACCACAGAAACAGCCATAGGTTCAGAGAGAAATAATGTTAGCTTGGAGTGGGACTGAGGGGGGAGGGGGTCCTCCATGTCAGAACTTGCCTGCCAGTGAGTAACAGCTGGCTTTTCTAGCTTTGGACCTCTTGACCCCTGAAAATACACAGTACTGTTGAAAGTGTCTCATTCTTATTGTTAGTAATACAACTGTTTTTTTAAAACGGAAGCCTGGCTTCCACCCTGAATTGGACAGTCTCCATTGGTAAGGAAATGCTAACTCCACTGTTTGGGGAGTGGGGGAGGGCAGCTGTGGGGCTGGGAAAGATACGGACACCATCAATACAGACCTGAACTCAGGACGTCAGGAGGCGAGAGGAATCGGCTAAGGCCTTGAGCGGTTGTTGATGATGTAATCATGTCCTCAGAGATGCCTGTTCCCATGTGTGGAAACTAGGTCTGCAGTGTCCATGACCCACGTGATGTGGTGCATTTGAAGGACGTGGAGAAGCCTACCCCCCCCCGGGGGGAGCAATCCCCAACCCAGGAATTCCTGCTTCTAGATCTTGAAACAAAGTTGCACCCATCTCCCAAATGTTTCTTTTCTGTTTTTTTTTTTTTTGAGGAAGATTAGCCCTGAGCTAACATCTGCTGCCAGTCCTCTTTTTGCTGAGGAAGGCTGGCCCTGAGCTAACATCCGTGCCCATCTTCCTCTGCTTTATATGTGGGACGCCTGCCACAGCATGGGTTGCCAAGTGGTGCCATGTCTGCACCCGGGATCTGAACTGGCGAACCCGAGGCAACCGAAGCAGAACACGTGCACTTAAGAGCTACACCACCCAAATGTTTCTTTATCCTTCCCTGAAAGAGCAAGACATTGACCTAGTTAGCATCACAACCTCCAAAGTTACGATAGACCAGGATCCATCAAATGAGGCGAGTGGGGGCAGGCTGCTGAGGGTACCATAAAGGCACGAGAGGAGGAGACAGAGCCCAATATCATGGGCCTCACACTGGAATTAGGGCCCATGTGCCCCATAAGCAACATAGGTCACTGCTCTCTGGAGCAGTTTGTTAATTTTTCCCTAAACCTGAGAGCCGGTTTCATTCCTTTCTTACTTCCTGGGTTCAGGCAGTGCTGACACCTAGCATAGATTATGGTAGTAACAGGCTGATACATCACTGGCCATTTTTTTATCTGCCTCCAAAATCCTCATGTCACAAGGTATGGTGGCTGTTATTAAGAGTCAAACTTGGAGCCAAGTGACTAGTCCATTTGCTTTTACGAGTCCATCTCTCAGGATTTGAATCTCTGGATATTATCCCACTGAATCTTAGAGAAGAATCTTTCCTCTTA